TTTTTTTTTTTTTTTCCTGATGAGAAGTCGGTAGTAATTTGTGTTGTGCCTTTGGATATAATTTATTTTTCTCTTTCTCCTTTCAAGATGTTTTTGTAATCTTTAGTTTAGTATTTTGACTCTGATGTTCCTAGATGTGGTTTTCTTTGTGTTTGTCCTGCATGGTACTTCTTGAGTCTATAAATTTAAATCTTTTGTTAGATTTAGGAAATTTTTGTATGTTATTTTATTAACATAATCCTGTTGTCTTAACATAGTCCTATTGTGGAACTCCAGTACGTGTATACTTTATTTTTTGATACTGTTCCAAGGTCATCAAGCACTGTTTTTTTGTTTTTGTTTTTCTAATATTTTTCTGCTGTTCTACAGATTGGACAATTTCTGTTGATTGCTCATGTTCATTGACTCTTCTGTCATCTCCAATTTCCTATAAGCTCATCCACTGAAATTTTTAAAACATTTACATATTGAATTTTTCATTTCTAAAATATCCTTGTGGTTCTTTAGTATAGTTTTTCTTTCTCTGTGATATTTTATATTTGTTTATTCATTAAGAACATAGTTTGAGACAGAGTCTCTATTGCCCTGAGTAGAGTGCCACGATGTCATAGCTCACAGCAACAGCAATTTCCTGGGCTCTAGTAATCCTCTTGCTTCAGCCTCTTAAATAGCTGCCACTATGCAGCTGTCACTATGCCCAGCTAATTTTTTCTGTTGTTAGTAGAGATGGGATCTCACTCTTGCTGAAGCTGGTATCAAACTCCTGAGCTCAAGCACTCAACCCGCCTTGGCCTCCCAGAGTGCTAGGATTATAGATGTGAGCCACTGTGCCCAACTAAGAACGTATTTTTCCTTACATATTTCTTATTCAGCTTAGTTTCAATGGTAGCTTTAAAGTCTTTAGTAGTTCGTCACATCTGAGCTATATCAGGGTTTGCATCCATTTGATTGCCTTTTCTTTGGAGCTTGTGTCACATTTCTGTTTGTGTATCTAATAATTTGGGACTGTATATTGGATTAGATGTTATAGGGATTTTAAATTCTACTCTATTCCTCCAGAAAGTGCTGAATATTTTTGTTGTAACAGGTAGTTAACTTGACTGTACTCATATGCCAAACTCTTTTATCTCCTCTGCAAGGTAGGCAGCAACTTCAGCTGCTCTGTTCTGTGTGAAGTTGTTTAGTCTTAGCTAGGCTGCTTGGTGTAATTCAGTGGTCAGCCAAAGTTGGACAGAATTTTTATGTGGAATTTAGGTCTCTCCCTCTTCAGCTGCTCCTTTTTAAGATTTCCCCCTTCTTTCACTTTCCAGCTGCTTTGAAACTGGCTGCTGTAGTTCTTCAAGCCACTGTGATTTTGTGTAGTTTTCACCACCATTAACAGTACCTGGGGCCTTTCTTCACAGCTGTAAGCAAATGGGAAACTTACCCAGTGCTATTCCCTTCTTGCATGTATTGCCTTCCCTCAGGTGTTGCCTGTTTTGGGTCCTTCCATGCTGTAAGACAAGTAGTTGTGCCTTGTCTTTTATTTGGTCCTGAGTTCATAGTTTAACATGAGAGCAGGTCTGATAGGAGCTACTCTGGCAGGGCAGGAAGAACAGCCAGCACTGGCCTGTTAACCTGCTCTTGGCAGTGCATCTTTCAGTATTGAGTTCTCCAGTCCATGGTTGTACTCTATATGCTGACATTTATTAGGCTTTCTTTAATTTCTCTCAATTTATTTTTATAGTTTTTTGGATATAGTCTTAGCATTTGTTGGATTTATTCCTCATTGGTGTTTTTTTGTTCTTTTATTTTCCATTTCTTGCTTACATACAGAAGTAAAACACATTTTTGAAATGACCTATGTATGACCTTGCTAAACTCACTCATTAATTCTAATCTTTTATCTGTAGATTTTTTTTTTAGTTTCTATGTACACAGTCACACCGTCTCAGAATAATGACAAATCTCTGTTTTTCTTTCGACTCATTGTCCTTTTTTGCTCCCTTCTTTTCCTTGTGCTTTGTTCAGGATTACTGACACAACGCTAAATAGCAGGTATCTTTTGTGTTCCCAGTCTCAGAGGAAAGGTTTTCAGTATTAAACCATTAAGTATGATGTTTGTTCAGGTTTTGTACAGATAAAATCTGTATCCAATTTAAAAGTTCCCTTCTTGGCTCGGCGCCTGTGGCTCAAGCGGCTAAGGCGCCAGCCGCATACACCTAAGGTGGAAGGTTCGAATCCAGCTTGAACCCGCCAAACAACAATAATGGCTGCAACCAAAAAATAGCCGGGTGTGTGGCGGGTGCCTGTGGTCCTAGCTACTTGGGAGGCTGAGGCAGGAAACTCGCTTGAGCCCAGGAGTTGGAGGTTGCTGTGAGCAGTGAAGCCATGGCACTCTACCCAGGGTGACAGCCTGAGGCTCTGTCTCAAAAAAAAATAAATAAATAAATAAAAGTTCCCTTCTTAGGAGAGTTTTTCTGTTTTGTTTTCTAAATCAGAAATGGCTGTAGAAGTTTACCAGATGGTCATTCTGTGTCTGTTGAGGCATAGTCATATGATTATGTGACTTTTATTCTTTATTTTGTTAGTTTAGTGAATTTCATGGATTGATTTTGTAATGTTAAACAACATTTGCTTTCCTTGAATAAATCCAATTCAGAAGTGATGCATTATTCTTTAATTGCTGAATTTAATTCACAAAATTTTTACCTATTTTAAATGCCCACCCATTCTTCACATCTTCCAGTTCATCAGTTTTGATTCTGAGTCTTCAATTGGCATTTATACTGAGTAAGAAAGCAACACATAAATTATTCTCCGTAAGAAACCTGGATATTGATTTGCATACCACATAGATACAAGAGTTATAAAAACTACAGCATCATTTTTCCAGTTTCCTACAGTAGAATTCATTTTAATAAGATGTCAGCCAGCTTATGGGGTGGATTATGAGCAGGTTGGGGGATGCTGTGTGTATAGTTGATCATGGAGCACCTCCTGTATCTATCTGCCCATAGGAAGATAACTGTTGGTAATGTCATTAACTCTGCTGGAAAAGAGGTAACCATGTCAATTATTTGTGATGCAGATCCATCTGTTCGACATTGATGTTCCTGGGAAAATTACATTTCAAGAATCTAAAACATTGAGTCCGGGTGATAGTTTCTCCACATTTGATACTCGTACGTACCAGATTCAGTTGGCTGCTCTAAGCAATCTCAGTAGATGATCAGGTCTTCCTTCCTTCCTTCCTTCCTTCCTTCCTTCTTTTCCTTTTCTTCTCTTCCTTCTCTCTCCCTGTCTTCCTTCTTTCTCTCCCTCTCTACTTTTTCACCCTCCTTCTCTTCTCTCCCTTTCTTTTTTCCTTCCCTTCTTTCCTCCTCTTCCTTTCTTTCTTTCTCTCACTACTTGTTTCACATAACCTGACTGAAAGACCAGAAGTAAGAAGGACAGTGATCAGCGATCTGGGAAGTTCAGGCTTAATTGAGAACTAAGGATTTGACATGACTTTGCTCTTTCATTTGACAATGGCCTCCTACATGGTTTCCAGAGTATACTTACGAGGCCATGATGGAACACCTACCACCTATCTAAGAACACCTAGATAGTAAGCATTTAATTGGAATGAATGTCTCATCTCTGCTGACACAAATGACGAGAAATTAAGTAAGAATAAGCTTATAACTTGTCTCTACCTCAGGTCCTGTGTTAATTTATCCCTGGCAGCGTTTCATGCTCAATGTGTCATGGATACTGTTTCCTGCCACTCCCTGCTGTAGGATGCTGACTTTTCATTTGTATATTTTGTGTTTGGAAACAGCTTACTGCAGAGTGGGTCTGGGCATCTGCTACGACATCCGGTTTGCAGAGCTTGCACAGATCTACACACAGAAAGGTGAGGTAGCACAACAGTTGTGTTATGTAGGACCTTGGGGCCTGGTCTGTGTGGGGGAGATGGGGGAGTCAGAAAGCCCAGAGAGAAGTCTTAATCTCTGCATTGTCAGCCCTTCAGCCCCCATGTGTCTGTGTGTGGATGGTTGGGTTTTTGGAGTTTGTAGCTTAGTGTTCCATGTAGCTGAGGGAGGAGCTGTGCTTCTCAATGCCTGCTTTTTCTTGAGTCTTACTCATTACTATGTTTGAAAAGAATCACTTGGAGACCAATAGAAATGAAGAAATGCTTTATATTGTCAGGGATTTCACCGCTCAGTAGTCTTAGACATGGGGTACGGTAGCAGTGTAGTCAGTCATATTTTGGTCCAGACAAGAAGTGTGTTAGTATCTGGGAGCAGCATGACACCAAAAAATGTGGGTTCTGGTTCTAACTCTCCCTCTTAATTGGCACAGTACTTTGCTTAAATCATCCTCTAGAACAGTGTGGTTCTCACTTTAATCATAGGAATAGTATGAGGATTAAGGATAAAGGCCCTTATTTAAGCTTGATATTGATTTGCATCACACATACTAATATCCTTCCTAGACTGCTTGAAACCACTTCTGATTCGAATGCTGCTTAAAGTAAAGTGGATGAAATTGGTTTGATTGCCGGCCCACCACCAGGTGCAGGTTCATGGGCTCTGGGGTGAACGATTGCTGTATAGCGTTGTCAGTATCAAGACAACTACTCTGCCCCTAATTTCAGATGAAAGTAATGAAAACATGATTGGTCATGCGGCGCTGACATATAGTGCAGAGAGAAATTTGAATGACAGTTGTCTGCTTTTGTCAAGTGAAGTCGTGTTGTGATTTTGGTCATCAGTGCCACTTTTCTTGTGTCTCTAAATTCTGAGCCATGTCTAATGGTGCTAGCATTGTCTGACTTGGCTGACATCTTTCTATGCCTGGGAAGGTTTGAGTTTGGTCTCTGCTGGCTAAGGAACGAGAGAGACTAGTGTGGATGGGTGTCCACCTTCATCCACTGCTGTTCGGCTTGTCTCTCCCAAGGCTGCCAGCTATTGGTATATCCTGGAGCTTTCAATCTGACCACTGGACCAGCCCACTGGGAGTTGCTTCAGCGAGGCCGGTAAGAAAGGAACCAAATGATATTCAAGTGTCTCTGTTTTTCTTTGTGTAAAGATTTCCAGTTTAGGCTCAGCACCCATAGTGCAGTGGTTATGGCGTCAGTCACATATACCTCGAACCCAGCCTGGGCCTGCTAAACAATGACAACTGCAACAAAAAAGTAGCTAGGTGTTGTGGTGGGCACCTGTAGTCCCAGCTACTTGGGAGGCTGAGGCAAGAGAATCACTTAAGCTGGAGAGTTTGAGGTTACTGTGAGCTGTGATGTCACAGCACTCTACCGAGGGTGGCACAATGAGACTCTGTCTTTAAAAAAAAAAAAACAAAACAAAACTACTTCCAGTTTAGTGAAAGTACCAGGCTTCCCAATGGGGAATTCTGCCTCTGGCCCAAGATACCTTGGTATCCATCAAGAAAGGACAAATCTACCTTCTCAGAAGCCACAGCACCACACAGCCCTTCGAGGCACATTACACTGACAAGGCTACTCTGTTCTCTCTGCCACCTTGACCTGCTGTAACCAGAGAAGTGGTTTTTTCCTCTACTACAGATTGCTTATGCCAAGGCTTCTCAACAGCAGCACTGCTGACATTTTGAGGTACCACTTCACCGTGGAAGGCTCTCCTGTGCATTGCAGGGTGGTTAGCAGCAGCCCTGAGTTGTGGCAGACACTGGCAAATCTGGTGGACAGAGTCACCTGTAGATGAGAACCACTGGCTTCTGCAGTAAGATAACTTTTTGAAGAGAAGGTTCCATGGCTTTGGCTTCCTTCTACATCTGAGCCAGCCTGTACTATCTTATTTTTTAAAAGTGTTGTCCCCCCGGGATAGAAAAGTATCACAGGGCTTGGCGCCTGTGGCTCAAGTGGCTGAGGTGCCTGCCACATATACCTAAGGTGGTGGGTTCGAATCCAGCCCGGCCCGCCAAACAACTATGATGGCTGTAACCAAAAAAATAGCCGGGCATTGTGGCGGGCGCCTGTGGTCCCAGCTACTTGGGAGGCTGAGGCAGGAGACTCGCTTGAGCCCAGGAGTTGGAGGTTGCTGTGAGCTGTGATGCCATGGCACTCTACCCAGGGGGACAGCTTGAGGCTCTGTCTCAAAAAAAAAAAAAAAAAGAAAAAGAAAAATATCACAGATCTATAGTATATGATTTATCTCTTTTTCCTTCATTGACTACAGAGCTGTTGATAATCAAGTTTATGTGGCCACGGCCTCTCCTGCCCGGGATGACAAAGCCTCCTATGTTGCCTGGGGACACAGCACGGTTGTGAACCCTTGGTGAGTGAAACTTAGTGGACAGGAGCTTGAGAGACCACATGGACTGGTGGGTGGTCTGGTTCCTGAGCAGCCAAGCACCCACCTCACTCCCATTTCTGGATATGTCCTGCCAGATTTCTCCCTCTCTCTGTAAGAGAAGCTTCCACTTGAAAACTATATGAGAAAGAAATTATCCTGTTCTTCATCAAGTCTATGGCCTTGCCCTCTTCTGAGTTTCTAGGTGACCTTCATTGTCAGTCAGACTTGGTTCACATGGGAAAACAAGGCAGCCATGACAGACAAATGGTTTTAGTAAAACCATACTGTTGCTTTTGGTTAAAATTTAGGCTGGTTTGCTATTCCTAGGGCAAGAATGAGTTAACAGGGAGAGGACTTTGCTCCCAGCTTGATGAGAAGAGGAGCAGAGCAGATGGGCTCAGTAAGGGAAATGATGACCCTATCCTTTGCGAAAGGGTTAAGCATTTTATTATTCAGTGAAACTAGCACACTAGTCTGCCCAGGGGCACATACTGTCATATGCTGACACACATACCTTGCAATCTGCGTTTGTAGTTTTCATCATACTGTCAACACCCATGATCGCTTGAATTCTTAGGGACTATCCTTTTTAAGCTCAGTTTATAGATGGTAGAATTGCATTCACAGAGATAGAGGGGCTAGAACTGGGGTTTAGATCCCTGATTTTGCCTTCACAGCTTGGACTTATTCCACACCACTCTGCATGAACACACACACACTCCATGTACTCTACAGTTTCAGGATGAGTATGCCAGAAACAAGACTAAGAAGAGTTAACTATCACTGTGGAGTTCCCAGTTCTCTTTACTTTATAGGACATAGAGCTCAGTGTGTATGGTGGGGAGGCCTTGGAAAATGTGACATGTGAGAGATTCTTAGTGGTTCTCCTGACCATGACATTTAAGGGACATTTGAGGACTGGAAGGATTAAGTTGGCTGGAAAGTTTCCTTGAACTTGCTTTAAGTTCTACAGTCTGGTTGGTACTTGGAGTCCTGGCCTTTGCCTCTTGAGCAACTTTGCTCCAGTGATCCTGTGGCTCTCCTGATCAAGTAGGCTGCTTCTGACACAGAGTAGTTGTATATGGTGTGTTTCTTCTTCGGCAGGGTTGGGAGCCATCTGCTTATATTAACATTGGAGTAGGTTGCTGAGGTTAACAGAGATTTTTGAATGCAGAGCATATAGGTAAGATTTAAAAAGAGCAGAAAAGGATTCAGTAACATGGGATTAATGATAGCAGTTGTGCCAAAAATCTATTTGTGGCTATTTGGTACATGGACCCTGTTAAGTCAGATTAGTTTGGAAACTTCTATTTCTCTCTGGGTTTGAACCCCCTGCTCTGCTGTTCCCTTGTGTTGGGGAGGGGCTCCTGCCACTTCTACCAAGACCCCACAGGCTGAAATCTTCCCTCAAATCTGAAACTGAAGTCCATTAACATGGAAATCCCGGGATCACAGGTAGTGGCAGAGATCTCAGTCCAGCCTTCCCACCCTCAAATAGGCGAGCAGCCGAGCAGGTATGAAGGGCAGATCTTTACTGCCCTTATAAAGGGTCTCACAAAAATATACTCTGAGGGCATGGAATGGAGCTTCCTGTTGATTGCAGATAACTCTAATCCCAGTTCTTTATAACCAGATAACTACCATTTCCTAGCAGTTTGCAGCTTATAAAACATACTGCAGTTTTCTCACTAAGCCCTCCAAGAGCTTTCCACTTACAGATTAGAAGGTAGATACTCAAAATGACTTTTTACAAGGTCATGTAATTACTTAAATAGTAAGCGAGGAATTTACACCTCTATCTTATTTTAAATCTCAGATTCTTTCCCCTTTGTCCTGTGAGTTGGGAGAAAAAAACATAGGGATCTTGAATATCACTAAAATCAGTGAATCCATTTATTTTACTTTGCCTTTTTTTCAGGGGGGAGGTCCTAGCCAAAGCTGGCACAGAAGAAATGATCGTGTATTCAGACATAGGTAAGTTTTGCCCAGGCAGTTTTTAGGTCTTTGGTGTCCCTGTTAGTTCTGAGGCCAGATTCTATAGCTATACAGTCCCTGTCACTTGGAAAGGCTCCTTTATGCCCCTCATTTTTCCTTGCAGATATTCTAGGGTCTGCTTCTCTGGCCAAGCCCTGGGGGCTGTAGTTCAGCTTGAGTTTTCTTGGCTTGGTTTGAAATGACGCCAGTGCCATTGCCAGGTCGTCTGTACATCTCAGCAAGGCCTGTGTTACTAAATTACTTGCTGGGACTGTGGTGGTTTTTACAGTCTGGGGGAAAAGGTTTCTTTGGTTAGTGAGGTGTTACAAATAATTAATAATGCACTTTTCTGTTTTTGCAGACCTGAAGAAGTTGGCTGAAATACGCCAGCAAATTCCCATTTTTAGACAAAAGCGATCAGACCTCTATGCAGTAGAGGCGAAAAAGCCCTAAAGGTTATTTCCAACATGTCACAAAATAGGATGATATGATTCTGCAACATGATCGACTTGCCAGTTCAGGAACAAATACACTTTATCACATTTTATCATGACCTGATGTTTAATTTTTTAATGAAAATCCTTTTTTTTTTTTAAATTTTAGTCTGTTCCTTCCCAGGGTGCTGTTTGATGATGGGAATCTCAGCACACTGACATTCTCTATATCATGTTAGTTAAAAAGGATGTAGGGACAAGACTAAGGCCAGAAGAAGGGGCTCGCCCTGAAGCTTCTGTATTTAAGTTGCCTCAAAGCAGCTGGCAGAAGTGTGAGATCCTGGTTTCCTGATGGTTGGTTCACCTAACTTGTGTCCTGGACCTCTTATCTCATTTGCTGGAGTTGTAATCCATTATCTAGAGGATTTAGTCTTGTACTATTTTCCAAGCAGTACCTTAAATTTCTATTTTTGGTCCATGAGCAGCTGTCAGATAAGGTGGTAGATATTTGGTGTTTGTCAGAGGAGGTAGCAGCCCCTTCCTTCCTAGTAGCTTTTGTGCTCAAATGTAAGGAGCTAGTCATTCAACCCCAAACCCTCCTGGTCATGGGGCAAAGACTGGGCCAGCAGTGAGCCCTATGGGAAATGGCAGTGGTAGCATTTGGTGAAGTCAACTTAGTATCGATCTCTGCAAAAAAATTTGTGAAGTGTTTGAAAATCTTTTTCCTTTTGCTTTTTTCCCTAGTAATATTTTCTAGCTCCATAGGTAAAGAACCACTGAGCCTAGTATTTCCTAGACTTTTTGGTCTTAAAATTCTTTTGCACAATTAAAAATTAAGGACTGAGTTAATATACATATAGTATACACACCTATAGTCTTAGCCACTTGGGAGGCTGAGGCAGGATTGCCTAAAGCCCAGCAGTTGGAAGTCCAGCCTAAGCAATACTGCTATACTCTATCTCCATAAAAATTAAAGATGTGAATGAGTTTTTGTTTATCTTTGTTATAAGTAATGGTGGGCTGGTAATTGTTTAGTTGAGAAAAAGCTCTGATTTTGCTGGTTTTTGTGGCATACTTTACCATGGCTGAGTCCAGGCTACCAAGTTGATACCTGTGAACACTGAGTTGGGAACAGACATGCACAGTCAGCTCTTCTGAGCTGGTGCAATCCTGCTCGAGCACACCACTGGTTTTAGGTAGATATTTACCTTATTGGAAAATAAAACAGAAAAATTCAAAACAAGTACCTGAGCATACATTCCATTAGTTATAAGAAATGCAGGCATCAGTGTCATTTAACCTCTGGAAACCAGCAGTGTAGACTAAGAAGAGAAGTGGAAAGGATAAATTAAGACTTTTAAAATTAATTTTTAAATTTATAATTTACACAATTATATTGATTTTTTTAAAAATTAAGCAATAGTTTGTTAAAATTTGACATATATAGCCACAAGCCATTGTAATAAAGATAATAAACGTATTTACCCCTCCAAAAGTTTCCTTGTGCTTTTATAATTCCTCTGGCTACTCGTATCATTCACTGATAAGCTTTATCACTACAGATCAGTTTATGTTTTCTAGATTATATAAAAATGGAATCATGCCATCATGCCATATATGCTTTTTCCTAGTGTATCTTCTTTCACTATAATTATTTGGAGATTCATATGTGTGTGCACCAGTAATTCACTCTTTTTTGTAACTGAGTAGTATTCCATTGTATGGATATAACACAATTTATCCATTTACCTGCTGGTGGACAGTTAGGCTGTTCCTAGGTTTGGGGCATTGCCAAAAAAGTAGCCTCACAGATTTCTTTTAAAGGATATTAGGAACTTTCAAGTAATCTTAGAGTGTGCACTTTAAGGAACCACTGGTTCATATCCTTGGAGGCCCAGACAAATTGTTAAACTTTGTTTTAGGTCCTTAATATGAAATACCCAATTGGAAATCAAAAGCACAGTTTATTGTATCTCAATCATCAGTACAACAAATGTTATATGTCTAAACCATCAAAACAGGTTAAGCTTGGAGAGCCAGTGGCAATGAAAATGTGAAAGATGTTTTTTCCACAGCTTGTTCAGAACTGAATTATATTTTTCCTTGCAAGTGGCCCAAAAGCCTAAAAGAAGTAATAATCACTTGGTGCAAGGTCTGGTGAATATGGTGGAAAACAGTGTACATGTCCAGATTCTAGAGTTTAAGCACCGTTGTTTGTACAACATGTGGTCGGGCACTGTCTTGCAAGAGGATTGGCCAGTTTCTTTTGACCGGCCTTGGCTGCTTAATCATAAGCCTCCTCATCATTTCATCCACTTGACTGCACTAGAATCTGCAGTGATTGACATGAAGCTGTAGTGTATACCAGTGCTGGACCACCAAACTGACACTGTTAGCTTTTTTTGATGAATATTTGCTTTTTGACTGTGATTGGGCACTTAATCTTTAACCATTGTGCCAAATGCTTGCAATTGTCAAAAAGAATCCATTTTTCATAACATGTAACAATAAGTTGTAGAAATGGTTTGCATTTATATTGTAACAGCAAAGAAAGCGTCAAGATTTCTCTTCTGCCATTTAATTTATGCAGAACCCATCTACACAGCTCCTTTACCTTGATGATTTGTTTCAGATGTTCCAGTCTTATTGGAATAGTGACATTAAGTCTTGCTAATTCTCATATAGTTTGAGATGGATTTGCTTCCACTTTAGCCTTCAGCTCATTAACTATCCACCTTGGTTTTAAGTCACCCACATGGCTCATTTTCAAGGTTAAATGGGACCTTCTCAAATTATCAATGGACTATGTGTTCCTTAGCCATAGCCTTCCCAAACCCTTCATTGATATTTCGAGCTGTCTGTGCTGCACTGGAACTCAAATTTGAAAATAACATGAATTTCTGACCTATCCATGGTTTCACAAAAATTGCTCTAAAAACTTTTTGAAAGATAATCAAGCCAAAACATGCATTTGAAAGAACAAGGAGATACTTTCACAGTAAAAACAAATAAAACTCCTCAATTAGTGTGAATGAAAGGTCAGAGATAGTCACTGTCAAGTTAATACTTAAGGAAATCTGACATTTCATGTTAATAACCTAAGTTGTAATTTTAGTGTTGAAATCATTTCTAAAGAACAGGAAATCTTGCAGTAAAGCCCGTATCTGAAAGGATGAAAGGGAGATCTGGTTGATGTGGATCCGCAGAGCCTAGGAGACCTCCCCTTTCGGATTTCCTCTTACTCCCCTAAGAAATCCCTAAGAATTTTCCCCAAAGAGCTGCTTGGAATAGTTTCAAAGAGTGGACAAGTCATCCTAGCTATCTTGATGCTGTAGAGGCAGAGGAACTTTACCTTGATGCAGCATTTCTATGACAGATAAGTCAGATGGATGCTAAAACTGTGTTTTTATTTCATTAAATGAATTCTCTTCATGTCCTTTTAATGTTCTATCAAGTGATCTTGCCTTCAGGTACACTCAAAAAAATATAAAAAAAAATGAAGTATCTCCTATAAGTAGTACACAACATTTCATTCATAGGCAGTGTGTGGTAAGAAAGTGATATCTGATCAAAATGAACCTTGGATTCTGCACTTGGAGGGGAAGAACACTGTAATCTAAGGCCATGAAAAAGATATGATTAACTTTGATATGATTCTCCTGTACTCTGATTTCTAACGATCTACACAGTGATAATTTTGGGTTTGTTTTCAATTGCTTTGAAAACTGCAATCCAGCTGTGGATCCCTATCTCTTGGAGTTTAGCTAGTGTAAGTGAATCCTTCACAGGGAAGAGGCCCTACCTATGCTCAAATACGTCAGGATGTACAGTCATAAAAGCACTGCTTGTCTTGGACCTAGCTATTTGGAGCTGAGAGCTAACAGATTAGGGTATTGCCTCAGTTGCAAATGAATAAATTTGTGACATTATAGGGTTCTAAATGAACAAATAGAAGTTACATGATGACAATTATCAAGTATGGTAGCGATAACTTCAAGTATGCTTTCTGTGGTTGAGAACCATGCTCAAACTTATTGGTGAAACCAATTTGAAGATAAACTTACATACAGGGCCCAGGTTGCCCTGCAAGTATGGGTAAGATTAAGAATGAAGTCAGCTATCCTATGATAGAATTAATGTACACAATTATGATCTAATAAAAAAATTAAAAAAAAAGAATGAAGTTGGCTAGGTCTACTAGTTCTCTGTGGGGCCTTATCCCACTAGGGAGAAATTTTACCATTCACACCAACCAACTTACTTTGTATATTAACATGTCCAGTATGTCCCTATTTTCAAAGTTAGTTTGAGCCCTGAGCCCACAAGAGAGTGACTATGAATTTACCCAATACCATAATAAATGAATAAACTGCCTATCTTTCTATTTAAAGAATAAATAGAAAAGCCTGAATGTAATGTTTATTTGGTGAATTTACATGTGAGGTCATTTACAAAAGAAAAGATACAGACAGATGCAGCTTTCAGTGCAGTTTCAAATATTTTCACAACAGGCATAGTCCGTGAGAATTTGGAATGATAGTACTGAATGGCACATGCTTCAGTTTCCTTTGTTTTTTCCTACCCAACCCCAAGGGGAAAGAAGGGAGAAGAGTAGAAGATAGGTCAATATTAATGTGAGTACAGCCATGCAAATAAAAACTGTTTTTTAAGTCAGAGGACAGTCAGAGATGTAGAACATTTCCATATTAAGGGGTTACCATAATTGGTGCATAATTTAAGAACAAAGTGCTGAACTCTCGAACTTCCCATCATCCAAATTACAGCAGGACTTCTGTAAGTTGACCACCCAAGGGACTGTAACAAGCTGGTAAACATACAGAGGTGGCCAACCTAAGGAACTAGGGCTACTATACTGATACATTCCTGTGGTACATATCCGATATGAAAATTAGGTCAACTTAAGGAGGTGGTCAATTATGGAGGTTCTACTGTATCTCAAATTATGTTAACTGCTCCTACTAAGGCCTCCTTTAGAGGCCTTCTTGATATTTTCCAAATATTTACTTTGAAAGAGAGTTATTTAGATTCTAAAAAAGAGCATTTATAGAGAATTTTTTTTTGGTTTCAGCAGGATAAAGCACTCTTTTACCTACAACAATGTAAACTATAATTTTATTTCATTTCCAGAAAAGTATAATTGAAAGTTTACTTTTTAAAAAAGGAGTATCCTCTTTTAGTATATTAAGTCTTAAAATTCTCCCCATCTTTGAATATCTCAAAATAAGATACCCCTTAAGAATACTACCCTTTCCCCACCAGAAAAATCCAGCATGTAAGCACAATGATGGTCTATAAAAGTGACAATTGGAAATAAGTCTTAAAGTTATTTCTAAGTAAAGTGGTGGAATAAAGATAAAATTAACAAAACCAAACAAAAACCTGTTGTCAGTATCCCTAGTGAAGACCTGGACATGAGCAATTAGTCCTTAGAGATCAAGGTTAGTTCAGCACTAAAAAGTACTCTACGTGTCTTCATCATCCTGGAAATTACTGGCTCAAAATTCCTTAAGCACACGTAGCCATAATTGAAGCACTAAACTTGTATCAGGAAATGCTGCACTGGATTTAAGATTTATATCCTTTTTGAACCTTTTGCCACATTTTCTTCATTAGAAAATTTAAGCTAATTAAATACTCCCATATTAACAAATCTTTTTGGGGAGTTTACATACAAGAAGCCTATACTCTCTTTAAAAAGTACACTATTAAATAGCAGTACTTATTACAGAAAATAGTCATAGACAATTAATTATAAACACTTCTGTTTCATCTTACCTCTTTTTCTGGGTCTACTCCCCCATCAATACTCAAGTCTTCCAGTAGGTATATCAATCAGAATATTTTACTTCAGCATAATTTACTGGATGAAAATCAGCTGTTGTGGACTTGAATGATGTCCATTATCCATTAGAGTGGAAGGGGGCCAAGAGGATTAACAGTTACCACTACGTTTCTAAGGTTCTGCAGAATCAGAGGCATTGTGCATGCTGACAATGGTTTAAAGGCTCTCTCAATTTTACTTTAATCCCCATTTAAGTAGTTTCCTTCAAAAAATCAACTGAAACAGATTGAATACAAAAGACATCTATTTTACAGCACTTACTATGTTAATTTAAAAACAAACATGCTGTAAAATACTCATATTATACATACATATATATATGAAGACAAAATCATCCAGAACATAATCAACCCCCCACCCTCCCCATTAAAAAAAAACAAATCAACAAATCAAAGTTTTTATTTGCATGGCCAATTATCATTTGTACTCTTTGCAACTTTATTTTAATATCCCTTTAATATGTTCTAAGCTTTTGATGCACAGGGAATAAAAGCTGCATGACTGCAAACGTCCTTCAACAGCCACACCCACAACACCTAAACATGAAACAGATGTAACAAATGACAACACCACAAACGGAAATACCAAGTTCCACCATTCAACATGGTTCATGACAGTGTCTTTAGGGTTCAGCTGAAGAGGGGGTAAACTTCTTTTAAAAATAGGGTCAGTCTCCTTTCTTCCTGTTTTATAATGTTGGTGGTTTTAATCCGTATTTCTTTGCAACTTCTGTCTGAGCATGGGCAGCATCACAAAGTGAATACAGATGGGCCATCTCCATTTCCGATTTGGCCAAATTAATAGCTTTGTTGAACATGTCAATGGCTTTCTCCATGTTTCCTCTAAAAGAACAGATTTTCAGAAGTCTCAGATTTAACAAGGATTTCATTATAACCAACCAAGTTTGTAAGTGATGCTACATAAAGTCTAGCCACTTTCAATGAAGATTCTATTAAAATGCATTTTTTTTTTTTGAGACAGAGCCTCAAGCTGTTGCCCTGGGTAGAGTGCTGTGGCATCACAGCTCATAGCAATCTCCAACTCCTGGGCTCAAGTGAGTCTCCTGCCTCTACCTCCCAAGTAGCTGGGATTACAGGCGCCCACCACAATGCCCGGCTATTTTTTGGTTGCAGCCGTCATTGTTGTTTGGTGGGCCTGTGCTAGATTCGAACCTGCCAGCTCAGGTATACGTAGCTGGCGTCTTAACTGCTTGAGCCACAGGCACTGAGCCTAAAATGCTTTTATAATGAACAGAAGTCTTAGTACACTGAAAGTACTCAACAAATGTCAGCTACTATCACAAGTACTATGTGCTTACATCATACCTCTTGTATTCTTTGTTTATAGATAAGCTCTATTTCAAATCACAATTCTGTCTGATTCCTAAATTCTTCGTGTTTCTACTGTAACTTAAAGCTTCTTTAGAAAGCAGTGATACGGCCTCAGAGGACACTAATGGTATTCAAGGGCCTAACTTCACAGATCTGCATGAACTCCCTTTCTTTCCGCCCCATCTCTTACCACCACACCCCAACTCCATGCACCAAGGTCTGAGTTCCTTGACTGTGGACTCAAACCTGAGTATACATAATACTCAGATTACTTATTGCCTCTGCCTAATACTGGTCAAATCCTTACCTTTCTAAGGCCCAGTTCAAATAAAATATCCTCATGAAAAATATTTTCCCCCCTCTCTCCCCAGGGGAATTAGCTGTCCTACCTCTAGTATTCCCATAGAACTACTGACGTTCTATGCATAGTCAAATGAGTACACATTTGTTTACACCACAGTCTTACAAGCTCCACGATGGATGGACATCTTAATTCCCAAAACCTAGTATAATGGCTGATAATTACCATCTGCGTTAGTAAATAAATGAATATGCTTAGTCAATAAAATATAATTTACCTCTTATGGTCCAAGTGTGGCTAAGCTTTATATAGTTACCAAGAACCAACTATTTTACATAACTTAGTGTTAGCTATATATATATATATGTGTATATATATATATA